GATTGGATGTTAAAGCTCATTGTTGATTGGATGTTAAAGCTTGATGTTGATAGGATCTTAAAGCTTGTAGTTGATTGGACGCTTTTTGAGCCCTACCAAGGGTATAAAAGCAGGAGGAGAACAGAGCAGGCGGGCAGAAGACAGGAAAAGAGCTGAACAGTAAGTGTGCTGAGCCTGCTGTGGAAGAATAAAGACTGTTCTCTGATTCTTCGCATGCTGCTGGGTCCTTTCCCTGGTCAAACGAACAAGAGCTGTAAGGCTAGCTGTAACACGTTGCCGCAACAAAACCATCCTTTCAAAAGTCCAATGGATCTTTCTTAATACTCACATATCAGGGCTTCATGTATTGGATTACATTCCTTCAAAATCTGGAATGGAAGCTCTGTGATTGGTGGAGATGACACTCTCGCTCAATTGTTCCCCTTGCAGTAGTAGTGCATGCATGAGAAGAGGAGAGGGTAAAAGACATGGGATTTCTGGAGAACATTGCACAGCTGTTTAGGAAAATCTGCTCTTGAGACCTTCCCAGAAAGCCCTGAAGGCAAATCACAATGGGGGTGAGGTCATATGCTCATGGCACTACCTTTGCTATTATTCTGCATAATTGTTTGCAACTGTCTTGTTGTTCCAACTAAAAGAAACAGCTTGTTCTCTAAGATGTGTTTTCTTTTTGATGACCTGAGTCATCTAACTCCCACAGTCCCATGGGTGGAGATAAGGGCTTTGTGGTTGTAGGATGTTGTTTATTCGAGGTGGAGGAGAGGGTATAGAGGGCAGGTGATACTCTTTGTTTTTTCATTTGGGTCAGGATGTATAAGATAATCCCTCCAGCTCTGTGTGTGACACCTCTCCCTATCATACCTAAAGATTTTCAGTGCCAAACAAATCCTCGGCAACTCTGCTAAACTTCCAATCATTAAAATAGCATGTGCAATGAAATAAAGGCATACACATTCTCATTGCATATGCTTTTTGTCCAAGAGCAACAGAACAGCATCTGTGTGTGTTTCATAAAAAAGAAAACACCTAGAAACTGTAGGAAAACTCTGGTGATTTTTTTTTAAATTCCCCAAAGTTTTTCATATACACATATATGACTGGATGTGTATCATATCTCTGTCATCTGGCTGCAAGAGTAATTATTCAGATTTTTGCACTATAAAACAGTCAAAACTGCATTGGATTCACAACTGAGCTCTCAGTCTGTGTGTTACAACATGCACTATTTGTACACAAGGATACTACTTGTCCTTATCAAGTCATAAATGGAAAGTCACCTTGTCATTGGTGGCCTAATCACCACTGGTGGGTGTGTTTGACATTGCTCCCTGTTATATATGGCAACCTTCCGTGATGTCTCCCCTCCTCCACTGGAAAGGAAAAAAATAAGAACTGTGGATAAGGTTGGCTTTCTTAAAGAAAGAGCCAGACCAAGAGTAAGCACTTGTTAATATCACATATTGCTTGATTTAAATGAAGCATAGAAACCCAAAAGAAATTTCAGAATTTTCTTTTTCTTTCTTTTTTTTCTTTGCACAAGTTTATGTGAATTTCAGAATTTTCCAACACGAACCTCAGATATAAAGCTATGAAATTTTATGGTAGAACAGAGTCTACAGTACAGGAGTACCAAAATTATAGTTTTCCTCAAAGGGAAAAATTCCATATGTTTATATGTTGCATCTATTACAAAGACAACATTTGAAATTATATGGCAGTCTTGTTTCAAGAAAAACTGATTATGAAAAAGAAGTTTTCATACACAATAAATTTGATGGATAAAAATCCACTTAAAATGGTCTTTTGTGTTTCAAATTGACCATGGGATTTTGTCTACCGAGAAAGTACAAATAAAAAGTTGAACTATCAAAACAAAATGTGATTTGTAAGATGTAGCATAGTATAGGGGTTACCAGCAGAGACCAGGGAGCCAGACTGCCTGGGTTCAAGTCCCATGCCTGGCTGTGTGACCCTGGGCAAGTAACTTAACCTCTTCCTTCTTCAGTTTCCTTGTCTTAAAATAGGGATAATAGGAATCATGCCTACCTAACTCATAGAACTATTAGAAGGATTAATAAGTCAATATTTTTAAAGCCCTTAAAACAATACCTGACACATAGGAAATATCGTATACGTGCTTTCTAAGTGAATAATAAAGTTACCTGTTCCAGAAATTAAGGCAAACTTGTGTATTGCATCTGTCTATGTGTTAAGATGTCGTTACAGGGGCATATTGGTTTTTTCTTTTTTAATTCCTAGATCTGCTCACATATTTGATTTTTAGAAGATACCTCAAGTACAGTAATCAGTCTTAAGTAAATTTTCTTACTGTACTGTATAAGAATTTTTACTATAATCTTAAACAATGATGGGCAATGCACTTATAAATATTTATATGGAAGGGTTACAGCATGCTTTCCTATGACCTCAAATGGTGCTTGCTTTGACTATTAAATATAATAAAGTGCCAGATTCATTTATTTTGTTTGCAGGCCCTGCCTTCTCCTTTACAACCTCCCCCACACGCCTTTTCCATTACTACCAGAAAAGAAAGGGAGGAATGAGGGTCAAAGAAAGAAAAGAAGCACAAAAGAAAGAAGGAAACCAAACCAGCATTTTTCAGTAAATTGGGATTATAATTGGCTTAAATATCAACATGACCAGGATAACACAATTTAAACACACACACACACACACACACACACACACACACACACACACATTTCATCTAGACTGCATATCTTTATAACTCATCTTTTCAAGACCAAATTCTCCAGTGGTTCAAAGGCACATAGAAAGCATCCAAACTGCCAGTCTGAACCTGAGAAGTTGGAAGATGAGGAACACACCAGGACTCAAAGGAAGCACGAAAGTCAAGTGTGAATCCTTGTCTTTTCTCCTTGTAAGGCTTTGTGTGTCGGGATTTACTTTTCCTGGGGACTTGAGCAAAAGAACCTTTCTATCTTTGTGTGTTCACTTATGAATAAGTTAAGACTTACCCTGCAAAAACTAACTTAAATGTTTCCAAAATGCACAAGTGAATAAAATTTAGAAACTTATCTTGAAAAACAAATGAGAAGAAATTTAGTTTCTATACTATACTCAGCATGTGGAAATTATAATATAAAAATTCCCATCCTAAACATAGGGTTGCTGGAATTGGGCAACCAAAGGTTTCATTTGTGTACTCATCTAAATAATAGTTTTCAAGTCCAACTTCTATTTATCTTCATGTTATTCACTCATCTATTCTTTTCTCATACCTTCAGGCTTAGCAAAAATTATCCTTTGTTCCACTCACATGGTCATTTCTTATTTTTGTCCTGTTTGTTGTTTGGTTGGGATTTTTTGTTTGTTTGTTTGTTTAATTGCTTTTTTAAAACCATATTTCTAAATGAAAAAATTTTTAAATACTATTCTAAACCAAGGAAAGATATAGAGGAAAAACAAAACAAAGAGGAGCATGGAAAACGAAGGAGATTTTAGGAAAGTTGGGATTGAGCAGAGGAAAGAGAGGAAAGGAGAAGAATCTGTATGTGTATAATGTCTGTCTTATGAAATCTGTAGTTTCAGCATCACTGTATTAGGTTCCTAGGGCTGTTGTAACAAAGTAGTACAAACTGGGTGGCTGAAAACAACAGTGCACACCGTCTGGGGGATGGACATGCTTGAAGCTCTGACTCAAGTGGGGCAAAGGCAATATATGTAAACTAAACATTTGTACCCATGTCATATGCTGAAATGAAAAAATAAATGGGACATCAATAAATACAACAGAATTTTATTCTCTCAAGAGTTCTGGAAGCTAGAAGTCTGGAATCAAGGTGTCAGCTGGGCCATGGTCCCTCTGAAACTCTGGTAGAATTCTCTCTTGCCTCTTTTAGTTCTTGGTGGTGGCCAGCATTCCTTGGGGTTCCTTGGCTTACAGCTGCATGGCACCAATTTTTGCCTCTGTCGTCACATGGCTTTCTCCCCGTGTGCCTGTCCTTCCTTCTTACAAGAAGACCAGTCAAGGCAGATTAAGGGTCACACCCCATTCCAGTAAGACCTCAACTAATTATAGCTACAATGCCCCTATTTCCAAATAAGTCACATTCTGAGGTATGGGAGGTTAGGATTTCAACATATCTTTTGGGGAAATGCAATTCAACCCATAACAATTATTAATAGTAATCATAACCAAGATTGTATATGCTCTACGTATACCATCTCACGTAATCTCATGGTAAGATCATTATTCTTCATTTTATAGATTGAGAAACTTCTATGTTAAGAGGTTATGTTCCTTGCCCCAGTTTATAGAGCTGATAAAGAGAGTCTAGATTTGAATACTTGAATAGGATTATTTGGCTCTATGTTGTGTGGTTTAAGACAAAGGTGAGTTCTGCATCAATATGTAGTTCTTTTTTGCTTTTGTGTTTTTGATGATAAGTGGCACTAAGGACCCCAAATCATATGAATACATAGTTGGCAAGGAGAAGACTTATTAATATTTAACCACCTTCTCTGATAGAGTGGCTACTCAACATTAATTCCTAATCAAAATGATCCAGGTAACTTTTCTTCAAAAATTTTTATTTTGAGAAACTAAATGAAAAAGCCTCCAGAATATATTTTTATGATGTTATCAAAAAATTTATAATGTTCCCAAAGTGATAGAAAATGGGTTCATAATGTGCCTTGAGGCAAGGGGTGCTGTTTCAGCCATAGGACCATTCTGGGAGGTGAACTTTGCTGGCCAGAAACCCTGTGGGTAAGACAGAGCCTAAGGCAGTTTGAGCCCTGAGGGCCTCCAGAGGTCCAACATGCCACATCCTGCTTTCTTCACCTCTCCCTCCCCTCTGGCCGTAGGCACTGCTCAGGCAACCTAAGCACCTTGCAACATCCTCTCCAATATGAGCTCACAGGCCCCCATTGTTACAGGTGTCACAAAGCTGTGTTCAAATTATCACTTTATTAGAGGAGATCAGCTTTTAGTTATGACTTTTGTAGGGTTATATCATGCATTGTTTCATTTATCTCAATATTCACTGAGCACTTATTTTGCCCCGGGCATAGATCCAAGTATACAACAATGAATAAGGTATGTATGATTCCACCCTCACTCTTTCTCTACCTTAGCTTATTATTAGAAAGAGAAGTCAAAAATTGAACAAATAATTAATTATGAAGAGAATGCATGCTGGGAAGTTCACGATGGTATGGTTGCAAATGGCAGGAGCCTAATCCAATCTTGAGGATGGGGGAGATCTCCTTGGAGGAGCGACCTTTAGGTGACACTTAAGAATGAGTAGAAATTTGGCTGGTAGTAAGGCAAGATTGGCCCTTGAAGGAAAGGAGAGTAAAAGAGGCCAGATTATTCAGGGTGGTCTTAAAGACTGGGATCTGACACTAATGACAATGGGAAGCCATTGAGAGCTAATGCTCTATGTCAAGTCACAATGGCAGGTACTGTCCTACATATTCTATTTGTGTTATTGGATTTAATACTGATGACCATGATGTAAACATTTTTGCCCTAATTTTTAAAATGAAGAATAAACAATTTATTAGGTGGAATTAGTGAAAGCATAAAGCATCATAGGCTAAAATTTTGGCTCTAGATCTTCTAAAGAACCATCACAAAATTCCCTTTATAAAAAAAAAAAATTAGCAATTCCCTATTAAAAAAATGACAAACATTTTTAGTTTCAAAAAAGAGCTTATAATTCTTAGAATAAAAAGAGCAAGAAAATTGAGATCTGTATGTCCAAGTAGGAAAGAAGTTCTCTTTCTATAATATCAAAATACTCCTAGTTGACAATGAAAAGAGTAGGACAATTTGTCTTGAAATGTGCTGTCACTTTTTAATGACCACTGTAACAGGCTGTAGGAAATTCTTCTTTTACGTGTTTAATACATGGAACAAGATGCATTTGAATCAGAGTAAGTTTCCTTTATTATACAACACTTAATCAAAACCTTTAAATCCTTGTAAGCCTGCTTCAAAGAAAAGAGAAATAAATAATACTAGTATTCGCTCCTTACTCTCAAAATAGTATTTACATCCAAAAAACTTTCACATCTCTGTCATCTCCACTTAGTCTCACAATCTCTTTTTCAATCATCTAACCCCTTTAAGGATATTGTTAGTTCCATTTCATGGATGAGACAACTGAGACACAGGATTGCAAGTGATTTTCCCAAGGTCAGGAAGCTATTGATGGACTCAAGAGAGAAATGCAGTTCTCAGAATCCTAATTTCATGATCCTTCCCTAGATCAGGCTTCCTGGATCTTAAAACTATTGACATTTGGGGCTAGATAAGTTTTTGACCTGGGCATTGTAGGATACTTAGCAGCCTCCCTGGCCTCTATCTACTTCATGCCAATAACAACCTTCCCTATCCCCAATTGTAACAACCAAAAATGTTGCCAGACATTGACAAATGTCCCATGAGGACATAATTACACCCTACTTAAGAATCCTTATACTCCATGATTCTGTGGGCACTGAATCCCTCTAGATATGTTCATGGTCCCATCATTTGTGTTAAAGATTCATATTTTTATCAATTCATTCGTTTTTCCATGTAAAAATGATTACAAAAGTGATATATGTCTTGGAAGAAAAGTTGGAAAAAGAAATCCATAAACATGCCCCTTAGAAGCAGCTGAGTTAAGATTTTGATGTGTTTCGCTGGGACTTACGCACATTAGCCTTTATATTTTAAAATAAAATTAATAATATTGAGTAAACTTTATAAGGAGAATTTTCTATCCCATTAAACATTTTCAAATGATTTTTTTTTTTTTTTTTTTTTTGAGACAGAGTCTCACTTTGTTACCCAGGCTACAGTGAGTGCCATGGCGTCAGCCTAGCTCACAGCAACCTCAAACTCCTGGGCTCAAGCAATTCTGCTGCCTCAGCCTCCTGAGTAGCTGGGACTACAGGCATGCACCACCATGCCCGGCTAATTTTTTCTATATATATTAGTTGGCCAATTAATTTCTTTCTGTTTATAGTAGAGACGGGGTCTCGCTCTTGCTCAGGCTGGTTTCGAACTCCTGACCTTGAGCAATCCGCCCGCCTTGGCCTCCCAGAGAGCTAGGATTACAGGTGTGAGCCACCGCACCCGGCCTTTCAAATGATTTTAAAGACTGTCTAGCAACTCCATTATTGTACTGAAATCTTTGGGAAAATCTCTGACTATTTCCTTAACATAAATTCTCAGGTTGAATTACTGGGTTAAAGAGAAAATGCTGGTTTATTGTCATGTTGTCAAATTGAACTACACTTCTCACAGAGACAATTAAAGTACGTATTTCCCCAAACGTTGGCAATATTAGTTGTTTGTTTTCACCTTTGCCAAATTGGTATTTAAAATTTTAAAGTATGTTATTATTTAATTTTTCTATTTTAGATTATGAAGTAGAAGATTTTTTTAAATACTTTTATTAGCCATTTTTTAAATTGCTTGTACATGTTGTTTGCCAATTTTTTGTATGGATTATTCATCTTTTTTCCATTGAGATTTGCAAAGACTCTTAATAATTTAAAAAGTTTAGTCATTTGTCAAATAAAGTATAATTTTAGTTCTTCAAAGTTTGCTATTTCTTTTTATTTTTGGCAATGTAATATGTCTTTTAATTCTGGATAGTGTCAAAGTCCAAGAAATAATTCCATTGCAATATTATGTTGAATTGTACTGAACCTAAAAATTGATAGTGGGGGAACTAGCATTAGTATAATAGTGAGCTTTCCTATCTATGAACATTTGTTTTATTATTCTCAGATAAGGCTTATTTTCCACTGCATATTCTAACTGGTTATTTTTGCCATGTTCTCTCTCCTTTATTAGATTTTTTTATTTCTAAAAGAACATGTAGTTCTCTATACACAGTGAGTATTTAAAAAATGTTATTGACTTGCAGTTGTTCTTAATTTCTCATGGGTTTAAAAATTATAGTAGCAGTTTGTGAGTGATCTTTTAGGAAAGTGTTCAAATTCATACCCTACCATTTCTTTTGCATTTTGCCGTAGGCACTTATATTCCATAGAACATACCATTCTTACAAAAGCATATTTAAAGATAGGGCCTACTGATCCATTAAGCAATCATCTACAAAGCAGCTTCATAAAAGCAGCACTAAAATAAAGATCAAAAACTTGAGATTTACACATATGGACTAGTTTAGAAAGTAAATTTTAAATTATCTTCAATGTGTTTAAGTGCTGATGAATAAAATAAAAATACTGATTTAGATAACAATGTAGATTTTATTTTATATCAAATTCAGAGGATGTGTTAAAATAACAGTATTTACTCTTTCTTAAGGGCTACTCTTTCTTGGTGGACAAAAACAGAATTATTTGAAGAACTTTATTTTATTGCTTATACTTTTGTATAAGTAGGGACTTTTAGGGGACTTTTTGTATAAGTAGGGACCTAGTAGGGACCTTTTGGTTAGTAGATCTGAATCTTTCCTAATTAGCACATTTGATGCTTTATGTAAAAGAGTGTGACTAAAGGGATTTTGGAAACTTGAAAGCCATTTAGCCAGGCTAAGCATTCCTTTTGCAATCTTTACACTCTTAAAATGCTTAGCATTGGGATCCTTTTATTTTTCATATGTAGTCCAAAAATAAACCAGCTTCTACTAATTACCATGGTACAGTTTTATGGTATTTATTGCCTCTGTGAGCAGGTGCTTTAAATCACTAACAACCTGTGCAACCTTGAGTAAATCACTTAATATCTTTGGACCTGTTTTCTTATTCACTATAGGAAAAAATTAAACTCGATGATCACAAAAACATTCCTTTTAACTTCAAAATTCTAAAAGTATATAATTTGAATTATATGCTGAGCATTATCATTTAGCCGGCAATTTATATTCTGACCCCCACCCCCAAATAGATAAGATTTTATATAAATCAAATTGACTACTTAATATGTGAAATAAGAGAGTTAGAAATGTGAACTCTGAGCTTTCACTTCCAGATATGACTGAATAGCTGGTACCAGACTAGCCCCCCTATATTAAATCACCACAAAACTGAACAAATATTCCAGATACTGGAAAACGAGCAATGCAAGACTATGATTTTTAAGCACTGGGTAATTCACAAGGAGAACACCACAATGAAATGAGCCCTCCACTGAGGGATAATTTCCCATTTGTGGTATAAAGAGCTAGAACTGGGATAAGCATGGTGGTTCCAGTGAAGTGAAGAGACACAGTTCAGAGTTTAGAGGAGCTGGAGTGGCTGGAATGTGCAAGACAGGGCATTGGAGAGGATGCAAATGGGCCCAGTGAGAGCTCCAGAAGTCTGTATGTGGTTCCCTACAAGCCCCTGGCCAAGGACACAGGGTGAAACGACTTGAGACTTTGAGAGCCATTGCTGTAGGGTTAAGAGAGTAACAGACACACAAGACGTTGAGTAGTTCTGGGAAACTTGAATTGTCTACCCAGCTAGAGTGTGGAAATCTCTTTAACACCATGCTATTTCATATGACATCCAGCTGAAATATCAGAAAGGCTGTACCATAAGTGTAAGGACCATATCCTACAGCAAGTCCCACTTTTGATCCCTCTACAGTAGGATAAAACTAAATCTTGACAAGATTCACAGAGCAGAGGGAATCCACCAAGTAAAGTGAGCTTGAGAAACATCTTGGGCTTTGCTAAGATTGATCCTAAGAAAATACTAACATAAAGCAAGCTTACATAATATAAGATGATCAGCCAGTAATTGAAGTTGCTACTAGAACAAAAATCATCACTTTTCAGAGGAAGACAACAGAACTCAATATCATATACAACATCCAGAATACAATAAAAATTACTGTACGTGCAAAGACACAGGAAAACGTGACCCATAATCAAGAAATTAAAAATAGTCAATACGACCAAACCTAACAAGGCCTAGATAAAGGTGTAGCAGATAAACATATTACAGTCACTATTATAAATATGTCTGAAGAACTAAAAGAAATGTGTTCAAACAATTAAAGAAAAATATTGTCTTAATGAGTGAGCAGACAAAAAATCTCACTGAAGAAATCGAATCTAAAAATAAGAAGTAAGTTGATGTTGAGAATGTAAACTGGTATAACCATGTTAGAAAACTGTTTTGTATTTCCTTTGAAATTAAACAGATGGATGACTACTCAGCAACTAAAAAAAACAACAATTGATACATGCAACAACTTGGATGAATTGCTAGAAAATTATGCTGAGTGAAGAAAGCCAATCCCAAAATGTTACATACTGTATGATTTTATTTATGTAATATTATTAAAATGTAAAATATAGAAATGGAGAACAGATTGGTTGTTGTCAGGGGTTAGGAACAGGGGCTGAGCAGGAAGGAAGAGGGTGGATGCCACAGTAAATGAGAAGACACATGAAGAATCCTTGTGGTAAATGGGCTGTTCTGTGTCTTAACTGCATCAATGTCCATATCCTGGGTGTAATGTTTTACTATTGTTTTGCAAGATGTTACCATTGGGGCAAATTGGATAAAGAGTACATGAAATCTCTTTTGTGTTATTTCTTCAAACTGAATGTTAATCTATAATTATCTTAAAATGAAATATTTAATTAAAAAATTAAACATACATCTACCTTATAGCCCCGAGATTCTATTCCTATGGATTGATTCAAAAGAATTTAAAATATATATCCACAAAAAACCTAATACAAAAATGTTTGTAGCAGCTTTATTCATAATAGTGAGAGTCCAGAAACATTGTAGGTATCCATCAATAGACTAGATAATAGAATAAAGAAACTGTGATATATTCCTACAATGGACAATTATTTGGAAATAAAGAAATGTAATAATGCTACATGCAACAACATACAGGTATCTCAAAAATAATATACTGAGTGAAAGCATCTTAACACACATACACACAAATCCATGTTGCATTATCCCATTTACATGATATTCTACAATAACCCAAAATAACTAATGGATACTACTGTGGGGGAGGATACTACTGGGACACAAGAGAACTATCTAGTGATGGAAATATTCTAAATCTTGATGAGAACTCATGAAAACTGATTGAATGGCATGCTTAAAATCTGAGCATTTCTCTATAAAACATAATGTTAAAAAGCAAATGGAAATTCTGAAAAATACAATGAATAAAATGAAGAATTCACTGGATGGGCTAAACAACAGATTGGAGGAAACAAAGACTAAATGAGTTTGAAGATGGATTGAGAGAAAGTACCTGATTTGAAGAATGGACAGATAAAAGGTAACAGAGTCTGTGGAACCCATGGGATAATATCAAGCAGCCTAACAAACATCTCATAGAGGATCCAGAAGGAGAAGAGAATAAAAATGAGGTAGATTATATCTTTAAAGAAATCATGGCTAGAATTTTCTCAAAACTGATGAACAACATCAAACTGAAGATTCAAGAAGTTCAATTATCTGTAAGTGAATATGTACAATGAAAACTACATATAGGCACATAATAGATGGTTTATTAATATCAAAAAGGAAAAGAAAATTTTGAAAGCATCTGGAGAAAGAAAAGACACAGGAGATAAGACAGATACAGAGGAACAAATATGAGAATGATAATGACTCTTTGTCAAAAGCAAAAGAGGCCAGAGACATTGGAATGACATTTTGAAAGTGATTAAAGTAAAAAGTAATGTTCATAATTGTTTATACAGTGAAAATATTCTTGAAAAATGAGGGAGAAAGAAATGCATTTTTTATATAAATACTAGCTGAGAGAATTTGTAGCAGCAGAACTGCTTTACAAGAAATTCTATATACTGTACATTCTTTCAGCTAAATGGAAATGATAGCTGAAAGAAACTTGGATATATAGAAGGAAAAAAGGTAATTAGAAATTGCAACTAGATGGATAAACACAAAAGATTACGCAATGGTTCTTTTAAAAGACAACTGACTATTTAAAGTAAAACTAACAACATTTTATGGTGGGGTTTATAAAGTATAAAGTATGTGGAAGTAAGATATGACAGCAGTAATAAAAGGATAGAAAAAGTAGGTAAATGGTATTATAATGCTATAATATTATCATATTTGTAAAGTGAAAAACAAGAAGTGTGAAGCAAGTGGGAAATGAAAAGTGAGAGTTGTGAAGTGAGTATTGGGAATGTAAAAAATGTGATAAATCAGGTGTGAAGTGGGAAGGAGAAAATAGAACAATTGTGACTGCAAATAGACTTTGATAAATTAAAATATCTATTATTTGCTCTATAAAAACAAATACAAACTTTAAATTATAGGTAAAAGCCAATAGGTAAAATAAAATAGAATACTAAATTTGTGTGATTATCCCAAAAGAAACATAAAAGAAGCAACAGAAGAACAAAAATTAGAAAAGATGATTAGAAAGTAAACAAGATAGTAGACTTAACACCAAACACACCTTCGTTGGCAATTTGAATAACTTTTATTTCTTTTTTCTGCCTAATTGCTGTGGCTGGAATTTCTGCACTATGTTAAACAGAAGTGGAAGTTAAAAATGGAAGTACTTCTTCCTAGTCTCATTCCTGACCAGGGGGAATGTTTTCAGTCTTTTGCCATTGACTATGATGTTTACTGTGGGAGATATATATATATATATATATATAGCCTTTATCAGGTTAAGGAACTTTTCTTCTATTCCTAGTTATTTCTGCTCACAAATGACATGATCTTGTATGCAGAAAACTCTTAAAAATCCACAAAAAATCTGACAGAGCTGATAAACAAATTCTGCAAAGTTGCAAAATTCAAAACCAACACACAAATATTAGTTGTATACAATATACAATATACACTTGCAATGAACAATATGAAAGGAAATTAAGAAAACACTTACCTCTAAAATAGCATCAAAAAACCAAAATCCTTAAGAA